TTATCAATTTCACTCAAACTCATATCTTGACTCATTGTGATCAATAGAATATAGCGTCTTGTCTTATATTTGTCTCGTTTTTGCTGATTAATTCATGAATTTCGCAAGTAGGTGACTAAATTTTGGATCTGACAGCTCCCGTAGTTATAAGAAATTGAGAACGTTTGCCTCGTGAAATTCTTTTAACTGTAAAATAAAAAGAACAAATCAAATACTCAAGACTTCAGAGAGTGTGTTTTCAATAAAATGCTCATTGGTCATTGAAAAGAAAAAAGGTGAATTCGTCTTCGGCAAATGAGTCAGTAAAAATTGTGATAATTTCAAAACCTTAGCAAATCCAAACATTTCACACTGCATACGTAACCAAAAAATGTTTCAAGTAACAGTGCCTTATTCGAATATAAAATTAATTTCTAACACGCAAAGATTCTCCGTAATAGTATACAACAAGCCCCGATGGGGAGGTGAATAGTGGTGGTTATAGACGCGAGGCGTCTAGGTAAATATCTAGCGCTGTTCACCGACCCTTGGGGATAGTTGTTTTAGTATTTACCAAATCAGTTGGATAAAAATGAAAAAAGTAACTTTTCGTAAAAGAAAAAACGTCACTTAGTGGGAACTTTGTTTACAATTTACAACCATTTCGGGGATTTTGTCAAGTGCATTTTTACGATTTTGTTGCAAATACAGCATTAAAATATTTTTCTACCTACCAGTAAACACCGACAAGCCAAAGTAAGTCGCTGTCTTTGTATTTGCTTGTGCGACTGCCTCATTTATAGCTCAAATTTCGTCTTCCGAAAAATGTCTCGAAGCGAGGTGTCATCTTGGCTCCGGTCGCAAAACAGTGAATAGCCAGGGATTTACCGGGTTACGGGAGCCAATCAAAATGCGCGAAAAGTGCTATTCACTAAATTGGTTAATACTCATAAGGGATATAACTGGTAATAGTTGACACTACAGCTTTCCCCGCTCTGTATATTGTCGGTCAATAGTATTCTTGGTCGTTGTGTAGCTCTTCAAAATATACCGATTCATAACGAAGATTTTCACACATATTCCATACAATAGGTGAAATAAAAACAAACGCAAGGTTGCATGGACTCATTCAGTTCGATTCCCAGTTTCGAGAATAGTTTATTCTAAACCATAAGAAAATGTTTATTTCAAAGTTGTAATTTTTTATGGGAACCCCGCACCAAATCAACTGTATTTTAAAACTGTCTGTGAAGTAGTTTAAAGCAATTTAAACGATTTAAAAACAATTTTTACTACAATTTGAGGTATTCTTATTATATTTCACGACTAAAACCAAAATAGCGTTAGAAGCTTGACATCTATTTGAATAATATCTATAACATTTTACCAGGTTTTCCTTGTATTTGAAACATATTTGTATCAAAAATACATTTTAAATACAGTATTTAGAGTACTGGCCTGTTGCTAAAACTTTTTTAAATACCGTATTTAAACTGCATTTTGTAAAGAAGAACTTAAAATCACAGATTTAAAAAGTAGTTTTTACAATTAAAGTTCAAATTCAGGTTTTAATTAGGATGTTTAAAGACTATTTTGAATATACTTCCTCGTCTACGACCTTAAACAGCTCATAAATAGCACAGTTAAAACATGTTTAAAGAAGGTTTAAAAGGCAGTTCAATTTAAATTCTGATTTGCAATGACGAACACCTTGAAATCTCTCCAAATTTGATTAAAACTGGCTGTTTTTACAGTATTTTCACAAACTATCCTCATTTAAAAGGTATTTGAATGGAAACCTGTTTCCAAACCTAACTTAAACAGGCTGTTTATAGGGTGTTTTGAAAAACCCCGGCCGCCCTCAACGCTAAAAAATTACTTCAGAGGAAAAAAACCCAACCAAATTTATTTTCAAACAGATTTTAAATACTGTTTTCGGGGTATTTGTAAAAATTGATACCTGCAGTCACGGACTTGACAAACAAAATGCAATAGACATGCAGATACAGTCTGCCAAAAGAAATAAGAACACGTCGACTAGGCAAAGCCCATTCTACAAAGGCTCTATTCTTATAGTTAAGCCATCTCGACATAAGTGTTTCGTTGTCAATCCAAAAATTGACGAGAATTCTTGGTTAAAAACTGACAAGCTTGAAGTAGTTCCTTGGACTGCTAAATGGGCTACACTGAAAATGAGTAAAAAACAACATAATGATAAAATAAAAATATACATATTTCTGATTGTAAGCTAAACTACGATGGCTGGGGATTCCAAAATTCACACTCAACTATCACGGAATTCAGGAATTAAACCGCAAAACCCAATTTGAAAATGGTTTAAAGACAAAACACCATATTATGTTGATGGCCAAGAGTCATGATATGAGTTTATGTGAAATTGATAATATGATCAGAATCTATTCCGACAAAATTTTTCAGCTGCAAGAACAGAGAGCCAAATTAATTGGCAGTATACGTTCTACACATTGGGAGCTACTAAAAAATCCGGTAAAACAGCATATGACAAATTACAAATCAAAATAGCGGCTGCTGAAATTGAAGCTGACTTATTGGTAAAAACAAAAGGCGAAATAAATGCTGAATTTCCAGATACAGATGACGAATTATTTATATGGATGCAATACCTTGAGTCGAATAAATTAGTAGTACCAATATCGGAATTACCACCATGGTCTAAAATAATTGATATTGATGAATACATTGCGGGATTAATTCACAACGAGTTACCGCTATGGTCTGAGGAAATTGATATTGATGAATATATTCGGGAACTGGAAATTGAGGAAATAAATCGAGACTGTGAAATAATTGATATTGATGAATATATTGCGGAATTAGAAATTATGAAAATAAAACAGGAATATTCAGTTTTTGATATTGATGATGAATTACCACCATGGTACGTAATAATTGATATTGACGACTATATTGATGAATTGGAAACAGCTGAATTTTTTTAATCACAATTTAGTGAAGCAGAAAATGATGAATTAATTGCTACTGATGATGTTGACGAATGGAAAATGTCAGTATTTTGGGATAAATTAGAATTACGTGAATATTAACGAATGCGGGATGTAGGGGTACTAGAGTAGTGGGCGGATGAAAATGGGATAATAATGTAGACAGTGAAATAATTAGGGTTCATGAGGTCATAGTAGATAGTATAGTTAGCGGATTAATCCAGTACATAGGGTTCATGAGTACATAGTAGATAGTAATTCGATGGAACATGTACAAAAACAAGGCTTAAGTTTTGATTCAAGAATGAGGAGTAACCCGTCTAAAGCGTTTCTAAAAGTCTTACGATCTGTCTGTCACAGGATCGTGTTTTGAGCTAATGTTATGAATGAACAATGACAGATAAATAAGTTAATTTGTCGAAAATTCTTATTCAGAAACCCATACACGTAAGTTAATCCTAAAAAGCAATTCGCGTATAATACTAATTGGATCGTGGATCCGTTCACGCAAGTTAAATCGGATGAGCCCATGGCAAAGAATCAATTTCAAATGCACATTTTTTGGTTTTTCTTTCACGCCGATTTCAAAATTTAGAAAACGTCTATGATACCTTTATACAAAAATTCCCTTTTAAAAACGTACTTTCTTGACCATATAGTAAAGATGCAACTCAAGTTTCTTCAGAAACCTCGCTGCCTCGGTTGTTTCAAGCTCATCTACAGCACCCTCTTTTTCCAAAGCTTCCTTTTTAACACTTTTATGTTTTTATTTTTCCTTACTGCGCTTTTCACAAACATGCGAATTCTGAAGTTCAAAAGCCAACTGACGATTGCGTTCTTCGCTGCCGTCAGTGATCTTAACGGACCTCTTAGGAAACAAAACTTTACTTTCACGGGTTCAAAAGGTCAAGGTTTGTGCTTTGTGATTGGTGGATTTCGATCCGTTTTGTGTCTTTCTGTGTTTCAGGGTTCGTTGCTTGTGATCGTAATTATGATTGACGGCAGCGAAAAACGCAATTGTGAAGGCGTCTTTTGAACTTTAGAGTTGGCATGTTTGTGAAAAGCGCAGTAAAGGCACATTGCCAACCTTGATGCAACGCGATTGTTTGTTTTTGTTTTAAAATAAATGGCGTGCTCTGGTTGGTCAACACTTTTGCTTGGCTTTCTCGCAAAAAGAGAAAATAGTCAGGTCGCGTCGGCGTTGTGTGTTTCCTCATCTGAGAAATGGTTGCACAATTCGCCTGCAAAGTCAGTAAATAAGTATTATTATTCATGGAAGTGGGTGAGTCCATTGACATTTCAGATTTACCTGGAAGAATCGTGCACTGCTCCGTGAGATGCCGACGTAATGTGACAAAATACACAGGTTCATTCAAGTTTACAAATGTAAACCACCGTGAAGATGTTTTTTATTGTTTTCCTGGAAATGGTGAAGGGGGATGATGGCATTTTAAAAAGGCAAAGTTTATTGACAGTGAGAGAGTATTCCCACGGCTATCAAAGGCGTTTCATATTTGATTACGAAAAGGTCAAAACATGACTTGTTCGGGATATTAATTTGTTGAATATTACAACTTAGTCTTGAATAAAACTTGTGACGAGAATCGAATATTATGAAAGCAAAGAAGGCTATTCAACAGGAAATATACCGTGGATATTTATGAGGCGATGGTAAACAACGCTAAGAAGAATTATTCAAGCTTACTTTTTTGACAGGTTCGTCGAAAAACGACTCAGGTGGAAGTGGTTTGGAACAGTAGAGCGGCTGACAAATTTTTTGAACAGATAGTTGAGCCGTTGGAATGGATGACTATTTTCTTCGAGCAGATAACCCTTGCCGTTCGAATGGATGACAATTTTTTTCAAACGGACAGACTGAGTCGTTCGAACGATTACCAAATCTTTGGGAAAGCTTTTCACAACTATCAGTAATTTCGTGTAACACGAAATTCGCGGTATTTGTGTTCGCGGCGCGCAATGCATCAAGGCTGGCAATGGGCTTTTAATCAGCCTAGCAACTTGTAGAATACCCCAAGGCAATGGTCTAGAAGTTGTATTCGCGGGCGGAGGGGAGAAATGATGTCTCAAGACCACACTGACCCTAAGTACCAGGGGGAAACTGGGGAGAGATTAGACGGAAGAAATCTTATCAATGAATGGGTCAACAAGCACTCTAACTCCCTCTGTGTTTGGAAAAAGACAGCATTTGACCAGATTGACGTGGAAAAGACTGATCATGTGATGGGTGAGGTTTCTCTACGTACACTTTATACAAGAAAGAATGAGCTGAATCACACGTTAACGCCGAGGACGTCATAGTTGCATGTTTAACCACCTCAAAATAGTATATGGCGGGTTTAACAGTCTAAACCACGTACAATAGCACAAGACTTTACCGTAATGAGATTCCAATGCATTTTACTTATGAGATAGAGACAAACGGCTATATAATCATTGGCGTTTATTTAACCCTGAGGAAGTTAATGAGATTCCTGCGCAAAAAAAGAAGCAGCCGGTTTCTACTTCTCCCTAACCAAATAACGTGTACGTTTTAGTTGTTGGCGAGCTTTAAAATTAGATCATTTTCTCACACACAGATTACACGCTTATTATTGCAACCGCTGACCACTCACACGTATTCACTGTTGGTGGCTACCCAAAACTAGGAAATCCGATCTTTGGTGTGGTGAGGGACATTTACGATAACAAACCACACCTTGGCAGTGATGAGAAACCATTCACCACTCTAGGATATGCCAATGGACCTGGAGGGGTTAATGGTAGCAGGGAAAATCTCACAGGGGTTGATACAGCTGACAAAGACTTTCTTCAACAAGCCACGGTAATGAGGTACAAGGAAATTCATGGCATTGAAGACGTAGGTAAGTGTTTTAGTGGTCTTAAACTCCTATTAAATTTCTAGGAAACTGAGTGAAAAAAAAAATAGGCCAAATTAGGTTTCATATATTAGTTTGACAGCATCGCGTAGAATGCCCGGTCACATCCGGGAATTTAACAGGCTAGAGCCGCATTCGAGCCACGATTTGGTCTTTAAAATATGGCGGAATAATAAGACTGAAGCGACTTTCGGAGTTTTTTGTCTCTGATTGTGAGTTACTCGTAACCAAATCTCAGTGGGTACCACCGGAATATTTATATCAAGAAACATCAAATTCAAGATCTTACCTTCGATTAAGGCCAGTTTATCGGATTTCACTGGGTTTTTCGCGCTAAAAACCAACCAAAAAATCGCCATTTTTGTATGCATTTTCACCTGCGTAGACTTTCGCGGAAAGATTACAACCAAAGTCTGCAGAAATCTCGAACGGTACCACCTGATATTGTGACATCTCTTGTCTGCCTTTAAAACCATCACAGTCTTTAAAACCAAGGATTGTGATAAAAACTTTTCTTTTTTTTGTTTATCTTTGAATTTGACCTGAACCAGTGAGGGATAGCCAGCGCGAAGAAAATTTCCAGAAAACTTCTTTGAAAGCCAGAAAAAAAATTTCCGCGTTTCGGCCGCCATCTTTTTTTTTTTTTTTTTTTTCAAACTTGTTTCCAGTACTCTTTGACCGTTTTATCGTTTTTACCTCATGTATGCTTCATTCAGAAGTGTCACGGCTGAAAACGGCAAAATACTAACCCCTACCCGGACGGGAAATTTTTTGTTCATCTCAATGGACCCGGATTTCCACGCGACGGGGCAAATTCGAAAAACATCACTGCTATCTTGACTTAGACTTATGAATTTCCTTGCAGTGGTACCTTTTCAAGTAAATATAAGTATGTAAACGAGAGCTCCGCCCTTAGGCTTCGCTAAATCATGTTCTTAGTATAGACAGTGCTGGCAATCATGACAAAGAGAACATTAAGACGTTACTTTAATTTCTAATGGAAACGTCCGTACACGAATACTTTATTTAAATTGTGGACCGGTGGACCTGGAATGAATCTGAATCCTCTGCAGTGTATTCGCTGGTTTTTAAGGCATGTTATTCGCTTTACTTGACAGCCGTGTATTTTGTCCTTGTACCTGAAAATCATTTCCACAAATAGGGCTGTATGTTAAAACCTCCTCGTTTATACGTTCAAGCTGTTTGTTTGTTTCGTGCGTTCAGCCAGTACCGTTTTGGGGCAAAAAGGGTCGCTATGAATTATTTATTGCCACTCGTTTCTTGATCTTGAGTTTGAGCTACTGGTCAGGCAACCATGTATTACTTTGTGTTGCACAAAGTAATACATGCGGGCATAATGCAAAATTATAATTCTTTCGTGGCAGTTTTCTTTTTTGATCTAGTCAATGAAGTTTTGCCTAATTTTCCGTTGCACTACTTCAGGTATATGCGCGGACGGTCCTGGAGCCTACTTATTTCATGGTGTTGTGAAACAGCAGTACATCTTCCACGTGATGGATCACGCCTTGTGTTTAAGTGACAGCAAACAAGGGACATGTGATAAGCACGTGACAAGGGGGGGTCCAGTCACAAGTGATTCTAGTAAAACTCAAGTCTTTAAGACAAAATGTCTGATTTTGACATTTGCATTAGTCTCAATGTTTTCTAAGGAAATTGCCACCTGTTTGTCTGGGTTTTAACCCTTCAGTTGTTCATTTTTTTGTTTATTTCTTCATTAGAGAAAGGCCACAACACAAAAATCAAAGTATCTTTCGTTTTATTACTTTTTATTACTAATTAGCATATGATTATGATAGCATAGAAAGCGACCGATTATATAGCTATTATATGTATCAGCTTTAGTTAAGCCAAGGCAAGTTTGTAATACGTATTTTGAAGTGTGCGTTCTGTCTGTTAATATGCATAGCCTATAGCAATAACAATTGCATGTATTCTTGTTCATACAATAATCTCCTCCACATGCTGTTGTTTCCTGAATAAGGTACATTTCATAAGCGTTTCGTAGCCAAGAAGAAATGGCTCTCTTCACGCAGCTCCACGAAAAAGAGAATATATAAGGAGCGTATATGTATTTGCGCAGGCGGGCCCCCGTAGGCCCTCAGAACAGCATACGTACACTGCAAACGCAAGTTGACAAGAAAACGTCGATATATACTCTTTTCGATGTACACTACAAATAACGAAGGCCACCATTCTGTAGTTTTTGGTGATTAATTTTAGCATTAACTAGAAAAACTCAGCACTGCTTTAAGATGAATAGAATCCTAAATCACAAACCGTTTGCCTTAAAAAGATACTAAATCAGTTTTTCTTCCTCAAACCTAATATGAAACACATTTTGATAACCATTTAACAGACCGTAGTCCGGTCTACCACTCTGCAGCTAAAACGTCATCTATACTGCTACTTAAAGCGAAATTCGTTGTATCGCGCTGTGCGTTTTGCAAATTTTGGAGCTTTTCGGTTCAGTCAATCATCTTAGCAGACGTCTTAGGAAACACGTTTACTTTCAGGATTTCAGAAGGTTGTAGTTTGTGGTTCGTGATTGGACGATTTCGGTCCGTTTTGTTTGTTTTATGTTGTAAAGTTCGTTGCTTTGTGATCGTTCTGTTTCTGGCAATAATCGACTAGTTTTAAAAGTTTGCTTCGCAGATGTTTATGGTCTTTCTTATTCTTGTTACTTGCGAGCGTTTGCCGCGCCTTCTTCCTTCGACAACAAAATTCACTCACTATCGCAATTTCCCTCGCTATTCTTGAGCGATGTAGAGTCATTCTCAGAATCTCAGCCAAGCTGGGTGAGCAGGTTACATTGTGAATTTGATTAACCCCGCCTTCACTAAAATGATTGACGGAACAGAAAAACCCCAAACCCCTTTGAAGTTTGCAAAAATCGCAGCGCGATACTACGAAATTCGCTGTAAATTTTAAAAAAAGCTGTTAATATACTTGTAATCTTGCCACTATCGAGGGTTGAACTGCATGACGGAATTTCAGATCCTGGACTCGTCTTGTCCTTCGCTTATTACTCTAATCAAATCCTCTTTTCCATTACTGTTTTCTGCAGAATAACAGCAATGAACTTTAGTATGTGATCTCTCTTTGAACTGAGATCTACACGCAAACTCTCTCTGCTAGAGCTCGGAATCTCAGGTTTTGAGTCTTTTATTAAGGGGTTTTCTTCATTGATAAAGTTATTTTTTTGGTTCTACTCCCCGACGGTCGAGGTAGCGCCACAGTTTCTTTGAAACTTATACCCTCATTTTTAGGCACTTTTGAGGCTTGTTTTGGAGAAACTTTTTAAAGCAGTCGTTTTCATAAACTGGTCTCAACTAACTCTTTCTTGTGTGTGTTTATACTCACTACAGTCATGGAGAAAACGTTACACGTAAGAATGCAAAATTATTTCTCGTCTTATTTTTCTCTTTCTTTTAATTTTTTTGTTCTTCCTTTTACTCTCTTCCTTACCAGAAAATACAAACTTGTTGATACGACTGTTTCTCTCAGCAGTTGGTGTCGTGGTGTTGGAGGCGGGCGTTGTTCCTGTTTTCTCGTCTGACTGACTGTTTTCTTCTGGCTTTACGTGCTCGCAGGGCCTCTCTAACCTGGTGCAGAAATAGTTGAGTGATGAACATATAAATTTACAGTGTAACCTCGATTTAACGAAGGGCAAGGAGACTGGCAAAATTTTTTCGCTATAAAGTTATCGAAGTTTCTTTATATTGATTTTCTATTTCATACATTTTACTATTACTGGGGTAAAGAAAATTGTTCGTTATACCGAGAACTTCGTAATATAGAGTGTTTCGCTGATACGTGCGAAAGTTTGTGACATTCCATATGCACGAGTTCGTTGAGGCCCTTAATATTTAGTATTCATAAATCGTACCTTTCAGTAAAGCGAAATTGTAATTAATTCAAAGACATGAGTTGAAACTTTCAAGAGTAGATTCGTGGTGGAAAAGAGTGGAGACTGGATTTACAAGAGTGGATTTGAAAGGACTCAATGGATCGGACATTTGCGGCTGCAGGACACATAAAACCGGGTACCTATCGAGGAACATTGATCTGACGTTCGTTGTATATTTTATTTATGCGTTCTCGTAGTGATATTTGTACTTTTATACTACTACATCAGAAATTTCTGCAATCTGATTGGCTTAGAGCAGTGGTATTTCAGCTTAATTTAAAATACCTACACGTGAAAATTGCAAACCTTTTGTGGGTAGTAGTATAAAAAAATAATAGCATGATTTGTATGTGCTATTTGGCATAAATACCACTCGTGATATTTCAAAATTGTCTCAAATTTCACTCGCCTAGCGGCTCGTGAAATTACGTATAACAATTTTGAAATATCACCCGTGGAATTTATGCCAAATATCACTACAAATCATGCTATTACCTATACTAATTCTACTTTAGGTTTCGAAGGCGTTGTGATGCATCTTTGATAACGGTACTGAATGTAGTGGAATGCAGCTAGCGAGATATAGAGGTTCGTTATACCGAGGTTCCACTGTAGTTGGTCATGCAATTTGAACTGTTGTTAACTGATATTTGCTCACCTGTTGTATAGGAAAACTAGCAAAGGCTGAGAATTAACTATGCCCCTTTGCTCTATGTCCTCTTACCTGGTCATCCAAAACACAATGAAAGATGCAAAAAACCAGTCCCTATGAACAAAAACAAATACAATCAGCCAGGATGGCAAGGGGACTTTTGTCGTCAAATTTTCAACAAAACTCCCCAGCCTCTATAGTGGCTGGAAAAGAAGCTTTCTTCGTATCTTTATCACTTGAGCATTAGTCTGAGTCTTATCGGTTAGCAGAAGTCATGATATTTCTATTTATCTAGAAAAAGGACTGCAAATTAACGAGCAGCTAAACTTGGTCTACTCTAGGGACAAATACATCAATAATTCAAACTTACCCATGGAGATTTACCGGTACTTACCATTAAAGAGTTCACCAAAATAAAAGCATACTTCACGGAATCGTGGAAATCAACAAAGAATCCCAGCAACCACGTGACCCCAAGAAGGGGAAGCAAGGCAACAGTACTCCTTATGCCTCTCCTATAAAAGAGATATCATGATTTTTCAAAAGCATGCCACTATAAATTGGCCAATCTATCAAGTGGCCTCTACAGCTATTCTCCGTAGTTGTAAATACCTACACGAATAGTTAAAATAATAAAGTACCGAGCCTTCTTATTACTGTACAAGTGAACTTACCTTGCAGCCTCTATTTTATTTTTGCCATATTTGTTGGATATTTTACCAAATACAACTCTCAAAATGATCACGAACAGAATCAGGTTTATCTGAAATGAAAAAAAATAATGTCGTCGAAAGCCGGTGAAAGGGGCTAAAATGAAATCCCGAAGGGATGCCACTAGTAATTAAACAGCACTGAGTAAGCTTCAATGTACGCTGCTGTGAGTCAAAAGGTGAATTTTGTTTCAATGAGCAATAACATTTTTAAATGACACACTTCTCGATTTTCAGTGCGGCCCTCATCCATGTTATCTGCGAGAAGTAAAAATTTTAAACTCTAAGTTCCATTGTCTTATACTACATATTGAAGTGGTAGGCGGGCCTCTAGCCCAAAGCTGGTTTCGTAATTTTATTTGAATTCTGTCTCAGTCTAGGCAATCTACCTCTGAGTATGCAGCATATGTGGTAAGCGGAGACTTCATGGCCCAAAAGGGAGGAGCGCTAGGGCTGGTGTAGTTGTACGAGTCCCCGCCTTCCACCAAAGAGGCCTGGTCTTAAGTCCCGGTTAACAAAATACGAGGGTTAAGTTTGTTGTTGTTTTTTGTTTTCCTCGAGAGATTTCCCTCCGGGTACTTCGAATTTCCCCTGTTCTCCAAAACCCACACCTTCAAATTCCAGTTTGAACTACAATGTGTTTCCGTACTACTAAAGGGCCACGAGTTTAATTCTCAGCCTTTCATGCAAATTTCAGTAAATTTATACCCTCTTAAAGAAACGTTTGACGGTTTGTTTAATTCCTGTCCATCAAACTTAGGTAAAGGCTGCCTGAATGTTATGTATGAAATCATTGGTGCTCACCAGGAGAATTGCTAAAACTGGACCTTTGTAAATCCACTGACTGCCGTTTATCCAGCATCTGTAAACACAAGAATAAAGCGAACTAATAACCTTTAAAATGGTGATGCTCGCGATGATAACGATCATATCGTGTTAGAGTTGTAGTTGTCGATAATAACTCATGACGATGTCGATGATATTGGTGACGATGATGATGATGATAATGATGATGATCGAGAATAATGATATGGCCAAAAATTATTAACTACTATAATGGTATTTCACTACAGTAACAGTAAGGTTGTTAATGGAATGTCAGTTTACCTGGTTCTTTCAATCATTGCGGCAAAATTCAATGAGCCGCATGTAATGTTCTTATACAAACTTTTCCCCATGTCATAAGAAGAAGGACGAATAGCAGCCACCAAGCCAACGATGACTGCTGGTATTCCTAAAATTATGACAATAAAATCATTTTCGGTTGAATATACACTGAAGGGCTGGGCCCAGCGTGTGATACAGCATTGCAGAAAAACATTACATTCACGGACTAAAGAAAATCGCTTAGTCAGATCCAGAAGGCTCTTTGGAGAATATTGGAACCCTTCTTCAGCCGTAATAAAAAGCTTTACGCTTCCAAAGAAGTCAAAGAAAATGCGCTTGCATCAGAGGGCAAATCCTGCCGACCAGAAACAATAACCACTGTAAATCGATATGTGTCATGACCTCTCAGTGTGAAACATGCGGCTAAAATCCGCGCTAAAATCACATTTGTTCAGTGAAAATGTCGAACCTTCCAGAGCATAATCTACCTAGCAGAGGAAAAAAACTTTATTGGAACGAGCAGCATTTTGGTATGAGGCAAAAGTCGTGTACGTTTCCCTTTTATTGCTCCGATGTTGAGCACATTTACTTTACTACGTCATTTCCGTCACCATCTGTTGCGGTGCTCAGCGAACGAAAGCGCTATCTCGAAGCCGTAAATTTCGTCCGCCGAAAATGAATTTGAACGCTTTTTTATGCCGTTTTCCTACAGTATTTGGCGAATACATAAGAATTCTAGATCAGGTTAGCAAAATCAGGTGATTTCATTCAATTCCATTTGAGTTTCAGGGATTCGTTGTTTCCTCCCTTTCCGTATTTTATACTGTAAGCCGATCTTGCGAGCCCTCAGTCCCTTGGTTTGCGGTCTATAGAATGTGTAACGAAAATGTAACGCGATCAGAGGTTTTCGACGGGTTTTGATTTTCTGACAACAAACACATGTCCTCTGGACCCTGTGTGATCGCGAAGCCATTCGCCGATTGAGTCACTCGCCGATAGATAACTGCGGCTTGTTTATCCGACATCAAGAATATAAATCACAAGTAACCAGCTACAAATACAGGCTATGCAGCCATCCACTAGAGCAATCGAGGCGGCAGTATAGCTTCTTTTCTCGTTCAGCAAAACCAGCTTGTGGCTTCAAACAACTTCATAACAAGCGACCGAGGCAATAGTTTTTCTCCGTTGTTTTATAACTGCACCGAAAATCCAAATTCACAGTAATTTCGACGGCTGTCATTCAAAAATTCTTTTCCTTCACATTATCTGCCAGGTTTTTCTAGCTGTTCTGCTGTGTAAAATCCTAGAATCCCGGTGAGTTTTTAAAAAACTAATGTTCATCGCTACAATGGCTTGATTTTTCATTCATGCAATCCAGGCGAGTCCGTTCGCGCGTTGACAGTTTTGATAGACGTGTGACATGTGAATAGCGGAAGTCCCTTGTCTTTTCCGATTTGTTCTAGTCGGGGAGATTCAACGAGATTTTGTGGGCGTTTTAAATAAAGCAACTATTCCACTCGCGCTTGTTGGATAGGAGATGATTATAGCCAACTCGGCGCTACGCGCCTCGTTGGCTATCTTTCATCTCCTATCCAACGCGCCCTCGTGGAATAATTGTTAATTAGCCTTGCTTACATTTATTAAGCGTGAAACAGAATCTTTTGAATATCTACTGTAATTATCCCTTTCAGTTCTTTTGTCAACCGCCTTTTAAAATACTAGCCAACTCTTTTAAACCTTTATAGTTATTATTCATTATTCATATTCTTGTTCTCATTTATTCAATTTTTTTTTCTTGCAACATTTTATAAATTATATCACTAAAAATCTAGATTTGAATAACTAGGGAAAGATATCCTGCAATAAATGTTTCCATTTTTGAAATCTTCATGAAAAAAATTCTGCAATCAGTGGTCTAATCGTAGAAATATAAAGATACGAACCCCATCCCATCATCAGGTAAGACAGATACAGTTTGCCGACTGGGAAGACCTTAACCAGCTTTATGTAAAGATTGATTCCTTCCACCAGCATCCACGTAAACAGAGATGTATGAAGATAGTGCTGAATCACGGCAACTAAGCAACAAAGGACCTAAAATAGAAAACATCCTTTCAAGTTATTCTTTTTCCACCACTTTAATTAAATTATCATTTAGTTATTAAATGATTGTTTTTTTTTTTCGCGAGACGATTGGACCGAGTAATACACATTCATTTAGCCGCAACTCAAAGAGATATACATTACTTAATATTGATCAAAATTTCAATATTGAGTCAATATTGTTTAAATTCCTGACCTGGTAATTCCTGGTAATTCCTGGCCGTTTGATTGTTCATGGCGAACGTGACGTCATGTCAAAAGGCTAATATCACCCACGATAAGTTTGGCTTAAAAAAATGTGAATTCCAGTATCTGATTTGTAGGCTTCATATTCATATACAAAATTTTTTTTTTTTATAAGCGTCATGAGCTAAAAATGTGTGGGGGTGTGAGAGGTGTGTGAGGGTGCTGGGAGGTACCAGGAATCTGATTTACATCTTGCCTTTATTCTTCTTGCAACTTCTACTTACTCAGCAACTTTCTCAGTTTAACCAACTTCTCTACTTCTACTCTACTTCTCCTCCTAGTTCAAGTATAGTAGCGGTTTTAAGTAATGATCCGGGTAAGGTGGATAGCAATTTCTTTTGTTATGTGGCAACGGTGCTTTCCCCACATAGGAATGTTGTTATGCATTCTCTGTTTTACATAGAGAATGCATAAACCCGCATGAAGGCTGTTTACGCAATAAAATGCATTTACACTCCACTTTGAAAGGATGTTTTTTGTGTTAAAAGATCTTGACCAATCATAAGAGTTGAAAACAATAGCCAAGAAAAGTTTACAATTTTAAATGTTCCCCACATAGGATTTCTTTGTTATGCAAACTCAGACGAGATTTTGTTATATGGAAGATGGTTGGAAAGTAAGGATGAATATATGTACTAGATAGATCCGTCTTAAAAATAACTTTCAAAATACTTCACAACAAATGACAGCAACACAAGAAATAAATTCGTCATTGTTATTGTTTTCTATTCTATTTTTTTAGACTTATTACAACATGTATGGTCTGGTGCCAATATAGGGTTATACACACTTTGCTAATTTATCGAAGGTGTCTGCCAACTCAAACAATTGAACCGGGAACAGGACCTTAGCAGCGCGGGATCAAGAATCCTTATCTGATGCGAAAATGTTGGGATGCCAGCGTAAAATACCCGAAATTGATAGAGCATTTATCAAATTTGTGGGCCTCCGAAATATTTTAGGTTTTAACTCCCAACAGTGTGATTTTATGATTGTTTCAGTAATAAGGAAAATACTGAATATGTCAACGGAAGCCTAGTTTTCCATACAAACGCTTAAAATTTTGCATATATCAAAGCTGTGAATCATAAGATCTTATAAGGCTTTAAGAGACAATCACCTTAAATTGGCTTTCCAGCTAACTTTCTCTTCCCATCTCCCGTTGCATTTCACAAAACCTACGTAATTGCGAGCTGCAGAGATCTAACTAGTCTCCAATGGACAAGAATGCCGTTGTGAAGAGTTTTTGACTGTGTATTACATTATTGATAAGATGAAAAGGGGATAACAAATATAACGCATAGCATGTAAACTTTAGGAACTGTGATAAACCATAAAACCTCGAGAAAGCTTACAATATGATCCATCCGTGTAGAAAATGAGGCGATATCCAAAATAAACACGAGGTTACCAAGTCCAAGAGAAAGGAGAAGATTCTTGTGAACGAAAATTCTCTCGGTGCGTTTAATCCTATAGAATGAATAAAATAAAATGGTAAGTAGCCCGATATTTTGCACAGTGCTTTCAACGTATTCTTCCAGCAGGCATGGACGTCTCTCTTGCGTCCTTTTAGCGGTGGTGAAAAGCGACCGTATTCGTTGACTATAGAAGGTTGCTTATTTTTAAGAATCATATTCGTAAGGATAACAGTTCAAAACTGTCAAGAGCAAAGTAACCTTAATGAAGGTCACAATACGTAACACACTTGAGAACTATTTTTCGGTTTAAGTCCGTTAATTTACCTTATCATGGTAAGTATTATGAGAGACAGGATCACTGCAACAACAGATACTCCAAGAAGGACCAACTCTAAGTCCCTTTGCACTTGGTAGTGTTTGTTAGTGGCAGCAGGTTTTTGTACTTTAAAGGCGTCTTTTTCCTGAAAAACAACAATAAATGATGACTTCATTTTACTACAACTACCAGAATCCTTCAGTTTTTCATGGGGGAAAAAAAGTGTCTGAAAAATGTTGCTACATTATAGCTGTGTTAATTGGCCCTAACCCTTCACGAGTCTCTCCCTTGTCTTGGCCAAGAAATTTCAAAATTTTTTTTTTTGCGTCACTGAAAAAAATCGATGATATACATCAAAAAGTGAAAACAAAACCTTCCAATACACACCCCCATCCCCCCTAGACTTCACAAAGGCCAAAGACAGTTATTCCCGATAAAGCATAGCAGAAATTTGGCCTTATTTATGGTGATATTAAGAGAATAGATTTCGTTTATGATCGGCTTGGAAAACATTACCTGGTCATAATCTATATGAGAGCAGTTGTTGGCCGCAAGGATAGCTTTTATTTCTTCAATAGAGGGCTCCGCTGGCTATAATAATAGTGACATTGAAAATTGGATTTTAGGACGATAACTAATAACGGTATGAAATAACAAACAATACAGGAAATTAAAACTACATACCCCAAATACAGTTTATGATGAAGTATATCTCATTCATATAAGAACATATAATTAACAATTATTCCACGAGGGCGCGTTGGATATGAGATGATAGATAGCCAACGAGGCGCATAGCGCCGAGTTGGCTATAATCATTTCATATCCAACAATCCCGAGTGGAATAATTGTTTTATTAAAAACGCCCACAAAATCTCGTTGAATCGCCCCGACTAGAACAAAACGGAAAAGACAAGGGACTTTCGCTATTGACATGTCACACGTCTATCAAAACTGTCAACGCACGAACGGGCTCGCGGCGCTCGCCTAGACTGCATGAATGAAAAATCAAAACATTGTGCGATGAACATTAGTTTTTTAAAAACTCATCGTGATTCTAGGATTTTACACAGCAGGACAGCTTAAAAAACCTGGCAGATAATGTGAAGGAAAGGAATTTTTAAGTGACAGCCGTCGAAATTACTATGAATTTGGATTTTAGGTGCAGTTATAAAAGTAAGAACAACGGAGAAAAACTACCGGTGTTACCTCGTCGCTTGTTATGAAGTTGTTTGAAGCCACAAGCTGGTTTTGCTGAACGAGAAAAGAAGCTATACTGCCGCCTCGATTGCTCTAGTGAATGGCTGCATAGCCTGTATTTGTAGCTGGTTACTTGTAATTAATATTCTTGATGTTGGATAAACAAGCTGCAGTTATCTATCGGCGAGTGACTCGATCGGCGAATGGCTTCGAGATCATGAAGAAACAACACTTGTCTGCTTTCGTAGCTGGTCAAGGTACTTTAGTTCCATGTGTTTTTCGACAAACTTTCAAACAAGCTCTTGTGGCTTTTTTGTTTGTTTTTGTCTTTTTTCTTTCGTTGAAATTGCATTTCTAGTATTCTAAGAAATGAATTAAAACGATTTGCTTCGGGCGCCGTTCTATCCTTCGCGAAAAAACTCTCAGCTAGCTTCCAATTTTAAACTGACGCGTACACCGACCATATTTGGAGAACATGGTATATTAGCTCATATACCATAACGGCTAAGCCAATCAAAATGCTAGAATTGCATTATCCAATGATTCAGTTTTTAATAATAACGTATAGATCTCGTCAGAGCGAAGAGCTATAAACGTGGCCTTTGGTTCGTTAGCCCTTGGGTTCATGTTTCAAACATTAGCAACGTACGACTTTCGAAATAACGGTAATGAAACGCTTAAGGTGGCAAGACTGGATTTTTTAGGGAGGATAACTCCCAAGTTTGAGCATTGTTCAACCTTGCCCTAATCGAGGCGGCGAAGAGAGGTATAAGGTCACATAAGCAGTTTCTGAAAAATGATTTCTGGTACCAACAAAAACAAAGGCAAGAAAAAAAAAATGGTAATAACGTCATTACGTTGCCACGGTAACTCTGATGTCAATAAAACAAATAACCAATTGACATTTTTAAACAATACCGCCTTGGTAACTTTTTCCCGGTTTTGTTAACGCCGACGTAGTAAATGCTCAAACTTGAGAGGAAATTCCTCAATAAAACAGGGACGGCACAAATGTTACCAGGTGTTTATCTTATGTTTCTGTGAGGTTTTAGCTAGATTTGACCAGTAAAACACGGAGAACTTTACCAAACAATACAGTTGAACAACGAGAAAGGAAAGACAGAATAGCCTGTTAAGTACTTCGAAAAGTAGCTCCATTCTCGCCAAACTAAAACGAGTCCGTGCTTTCGACCAACACTTGGTTTCACCTTCATTGAACCTGGGAGTTATGGTGATGCTCATGCCGTACACAAATGACGTAATTCAAAATGGCACCGAAAAATCTACCAAACGACGAAAAAACACCACAGATTATCCAAGCACCACCAGATTCCTAAGATTAAAAGTTGGTTTCTCCTCACGTCAAACGCAATTGCTGTTTCATAGCACTTAGCTTGGGTGATGTCTAATTGTGGCTTTCTTTTGTTACCTTTAATGATGGAAAGCCACTGCCAAAGTGAATTTTGCGCGAATTTGATGTATCACAAATCTGACCGCGGCCAGGCGGATTAGCCCACCTTGAATCGTCTACATGGTGAGCCCCAACGGTGACGAAACCGCTGTCCTTGGCTGCCTCTGCCTGGGTGATATGGTTGTGCACATGCACGCGGAGTTGGTACGTGATCTTCAGTGACTGGTATTGAGGGGATAACCCGGTCTGGCAGACCGGGCTACCCACTTCGGTGGGTCACCAAACCATGTAAACGTGATCAAATTAAAATGAGAGATTATATGGACAGGAGGGCTACCCCACCTAAGCGGGTTACCTCTCCTACCCGAGGTTCCCCACCTCTATGTAAACAGGCCCTAAATCTATATATTAGAAATGATGCAGTACTGAGTACTTCCAACCTTTAAAGTCTTTCTGATTATTCAGCATTACCTCCTTACTTGCAGTGTTGTACTTTTGAGAGATCTCAGTCGAAAAGTTGAAGACAGTTGGCGTCGAGTTTAAAGGCCTTGCAGAAGGACCTTTAATAGCCTTACTATTTAACTGCATAATGAGCTCTGTTCTTTGAATGAGTACTTTGGAGGGAACGTTTTTCTCTTCAAAATTTCCCAAAGGCCAATCAAAGCTGTATCGGAAAATACAACAAAAAACGTAGGATTAGTATAAAAAGAATGTCGATAGCTTCAGTTTTTCCGCATCACGTCACAAAGACTTTTGAATCAAACCGATGTGCATGCTAACTAATTACTGAGTGTATAATGGTTCATTAACTTAAGAGTCCAGGCGTAGTATTAACATGTTTTTGCCCCATGCTCATTCTTGCAGATAAGAGACGTAAAATGATAACTGTTTCAAAATCCACGAGTGAGGAGTGAGTTATTTTCTATTCGATTGCGCACAGTGGACCACCGATATGAAAATGACAGTGGTGCTTTTTTCTTTCTTTTTTGTTTTGTTTGTTTTCTGTTAATTTGTTTTTCTTTTTTTTTTTTGTTTATACTTATTTACCTCTCTACTGACCCAGAAAATTTACTAAAATAATAGAGTATTCAGTTGACCATTTAAAGCGGAGCTCTCGCACGCAAAGCGCGCAGCGGAGTACTATGGGTAAGAAAATGTGGTAATCTACCCATCCGAGAAAATTTGGTAATCACGTGACAGTACGCCCGATCGTCCGTCCGCACCACAGGCATACCAATGTTAAATAACCCAATCAACAGGTATGGTAGCCCAAATGCAACTGGAGGTTATTTTGGCGGGAAATCGCATAACCACCCACGGCAGAGGCAGCTAAAGAGCAAATAAAGACCAAATCGGACAGCGAAAATTGTTTCTTTATCCGTGTTTTCTAAAGTATTAAGCTTAGATTAATTATCATGTCCACAAATTTGGAATATAGAGCAATAGAAAGAGAGAGAAAAATAGGAAGTAGACGGCAGGCCAGCGAAACTCTACGAGAAAAAGGGCGAGAGAGATCTATAGCGAGAGATAAAAAACAAAGTAGAAACATTTTTTTGTTGCAAGAACAACACGAAAATTTTGTAGCGGCGGTGATAAAATGAGAAATGCTAGCGGCCAACAATGCAAGGTGAAAATGAGGGGCAGTGAAAAAAAAGTGAACGAGAACACGTACGACACTTCCGCCATAAAAACGTTCCTGGAAGTCTCACGTTGCAGTCGTGCAAAACAACGGCAAAGAAATGTACAAAAAAAGTGTGCTGCACGTGCAAAGTTGCTTTTTTGCTAATTAGACCTATTGTTGTTTTTTCACCGTTCTCCGGCGTTGCCTTCGCCGTTTAGCATTACACGATTTTATGTTTTGTTTGAACAAACTACAAAATCGTCGAGAGCTTCGCTTTTAGCCCTGGCTAAATCTTTATATTAATTGTCATGTCATGACGCCAACTGGACATTAAGAGGTGGTATCAATTCTCCGACTACGCTCTTACGGTGTGACAACCACCAATTGACGATTTCTGACAAGTTATTCTAAAGATCTTGAACAAGGCAATTGTTTGATTTTGGCTATGTCCACACGAATTCGGACATTTTTGAAATCACATACTGTACAGCTGTACTTGTGTTTACATGAATCGACCTTTCGTCCAAACGAAAACGGTGAATCCGCTCACCGAAACCGCAAATTTTTAAACCGAACTCCAGAGTGATTTAGGACCCTGTCTACACTAATCCGGGTAGCAAAATATCCGGCTTCAAAAATGTTAAAGTTTTCATTTCTACTGATATTTTTAATTGCCATTTTATTGCGCGTGTTGAAAGAGTGGCTGACGACCTGTCTTGCTTCTGCTAAGGTGTGCCGTGCAGATGCAGGGGTATTGAATATTCCTTGGATGCGATAATATTTAACAATTAGTCGCCGAAGGCGACGTGAATATCGGCGAATAGTCACCGAGACGAATTCCAGGTGACTATTCGCCGATATTCACGTCGTTCGAGGCGACTAATTGTTTTAGTATAATTGTATTGATGATTATTAGAGAAAATGAAATTATTGATCGATTTCCAACTCTAAAACATCAAAATTTCTGGCTGCCATTTTGAAAACTGCTAGCCTTCAATGTGATAATCACCGCTATTATTCATCTATTTTCCTCACAACATTACACTACATCTCTCGTCAGCGTATTGTTTTTAAAACTCACCTTGTTATGTCTCTTAAACCCATGGTGTAAGCTTGAGTGTTGGTTGGAGCTGTGCGGAGAAATTCCAAAACTCTGCTAATAAGGTTATATCTTGCTTGATCCTGAAACTGGTTGATCCTGATCCTGAAACTGGTTGAATTCTGGAGTGAATGTAGTCCTAAATGTAGTGCACTGTGACTGATGTTTCGACAAATTTTAATTTTTAGCTGGAAAACAAGAGACAGTCTTTTGACTTAGACATCCCTGAAGAGCTTGAAAAGTGAAAAAAGCGTAATTTTTTTTTATTTAGATTAAACCCAAGGGTAAAAAACATGTTGAAAACAAAGATTCCTTACCAAATCAGGCAACTGACAAAACTTGGTCGGGTCATAGTCATGCCCAGAAAAGGCAACATTGTCACCCAACAGATTTATGATTTGCTGCAGAGTAAATAAGAGCCATGAAGAATTCAGACTAAGTTAAAAAGTGAAAGCAACGTCTTAACTTTTTTTCATAATTGACTAATGAGCTTTATCTTTGTTGTTGCCTTTGGCCATATTAAATGAAAGTTGAGAAAGAGGCATAAATATTTTCGAGTTGCACTATTTTTATTGAGAAAAAGTTACACCTCAAATCCTAAAGGTCATGTGGCCTTTCGTCTACGAGCTTCCTTAAAATTTACGTCTCCATGTCAGGGGAACCTTTCATGTAAAAGAATAGGGTAGTTGCTCATAATTGGAACAAACTTTGACTAGAATTCCCGTGAAATTAACACATTCTAGGAAAAGAAAAAAAATCCAAATAAAATATTGTGGCAGGGAGGTGGATGCCACTTACATGTTCTTCTCCAGTTTTGGTCCTTCATATCTTTTAAAACATATTTTTCAAAAATTAAGGGACGGTTGGTTGATATCAGTGAGGGATATATAAGACAAGATAAGTGCCATGTAGGTGGTGACCATCTTATGGGATAGGACTAACTTCTTAACTTTGGATGGTGTGATTGTGAGAGATCATTCGCCATCAGAATATTATTTTTTAACTTATTACGGGATCATCAGGTTTTCCTAGATTGATCATATCTATTAGCTTAATTTATCCTGGTATTCTTTTGGCGCTTGTTTTTTCTAAAGGCAAAATGTAGATTCTTGGACAAGGATAGCTTAATTGTTTTGAATAAAACAAAAAGATAAATAATAAGGGATCTTAAAGCAAATGTTTCTATTCAAACAAATTCATGACCAACAATTTTTCTTTGCGTAAGTTGTCTATAAATTGCGTCAGATAAAAAATAAATTTGGTCAAGATACGACAGCTTCACCACAGTGGCTTTTGTTGAAAGTTGTTGTTTTTTTTTGTTGTTGTTATTGCTGTTTTTGGCTGTAATAATTCTCCAAGTAATTTTCCCTCAATGTTTGTTTGTTGCTGTCTTCTCTGTCTCTGACGCTATAAGTATAGATAATTACCTTATGCTCCAGCCCCTTAAAGTTTCCTCTTATTTCTTACCTTGCCAAGTCGTGCGGCCTTATCCGAATTACGTCTTGTAATTGGCGAAATAACTCGTCTTACAGAAGAGAACAGATCATTTATCATCTCAAATAAAACGTCTTTGTTCGTGAATCTGTCATATGAATTCACGAATTCCGTGGATATTTGCACTATATTTGTGGTATTAATTCTCTGAATCTGTAACAAAAAAAGGATTGCCCCAAAAGAACATAATTATTCTTGGCTTTTGAAACAAAGCCAATGCCGGGCGTGTTTGTTTAACAGTATTCCGCAAGAAAAATAAATGGAATAAGCCCTAGAAATCCCTTATTCAGGCTTTCATTGTATCGCTACATCTCCAAATCTGGCGGAATTACAGTGTTAAGGTGAATTTAACATCCCATTGGTTAATTATATCATATTGAACGAGATTTGTAACCAAATGATGTTATTGACCGTTACTCTGGGACACGGTGAATTAAACGCGCCGATAGTAAACGTCCCCGTTCTCTAAAATGACTCAGCCAATCAACTAGCCATAACGAAATAAACGGCTGTTAATCAAAAAGTTGAAATCTTAAAGTGCAAGAAACAATTATGACAGGTTGATTAGAGGTCACCCCACATTGCTGGACCTGTAACGATTAACCAACGCTGTGTTGTGAGCTTGGAAGTCGAATAAAGAGAAAGTTTTTTCTTGTTTCTGTGGAATAATTGCAAAACTTAATGAATTCCACTACTATTATTTCGTTTGCAATAAGCGCATACAGTTCTATAATTGACAGGTATTGAGCAAAGAATTGTATCGCGGAAATCAGTTTTCCGTTAAAGCAGATTTCATGTTACTTTTGAATAAGAATACTGTTCTGTTAACGTAAAGCTACGGTAGTGTGTCTTACAGCGATGCACTGAAATACCATAGCCAGCAAGAGGTAAAACAAAAAACATTCCTGAATGCAAAAACAATACCCACAAAAACGATCTTTCTTTTTCTGAGAAAGTTTCTTGAGAAAACTCTCAAGATAGTCGTACAAGGCTTGTACATTTACTGAAGGCAAGTTTCTCGGAGTAGCTGTCCTCGCTTTTGCATGGCGATCGCGGATAAACTGCCGTGTCCATGCCGTCTGCCGGTTACGGTCCTGAATAAAAAATGCCTTTAAGGTACGAAATGGGAAGCAAGAAAATATCCCTAGAATGTTATCTGGTTGCCTGGCTTTGTTAAGTTAAGATACTGAGTTGCCGAAACATTACTGATGTCAGCTCTAGTTTTATAACACCTAAAATTCAGCCTGACAATTGTCCATTAATTACAACTTTCCCAAAATGGACCTTATACGACTGGTAGAGAACCAGATCACCAAGTACACCGGAAATCACAAACCAATTGTCCTTTATTTACAACTTTCCCAAAAAGGCTCTATACGATTGGTGGAGAACCCGGTCATCAAGTATGCCAAAAATCACAAACCAAGCCTTTAATGCCCTCTGTTGCAAATTCGAGAAGGGTCAGAACCAGACGTCCCCATGGAAGAGTCTTATACAGTGTATTAGCAGGATGGTGTAATTAATTGACGTCAGGTGTTTTTGATTTGTGAGGAACTGATATTTCTCAGTCCTTATAAATGTAATTCAACACACCCATTCTCTTATCTAAAACAACTGTAGTAATGTCCTACCTTTTGTCTGAAATAATCCACCAAGGCTTTCTGTTCACAACCACACGTGATCTTGTGAAACCAAGTTGTCTCAGGTCTCCTATTAGTTCCGCACTTACTACTAAATGTACCTATAAATTAACGACGTTTTAGTGCTAAATGATTAGCGACTGTACCGTTACGGTCACCAAGTTGTAATGTGGATACTCCGTGTGTCCTGTGTGAGTTTATGTTTTTAGTACATACATGCAACAAGTATATCCTATTTTATGTCATTCTAATATTTTCTGTTTAGTTACGGATCAGTGAAGAGGACCACCTCGCTCGCTAGATACCCACTTATTTGTTCTTACCGCATTTTAGGCTAATCTATAAGTGAAGAACCATACGGCAAAATTTGATCTCTTTGCTCTATATAATAACCGAAAAAATAATAGAAATTAAGTTTGACTGTCAGCCGCGTTGGACAAAACAAAGATCAGACAATGATTATATGAATAACTACATTAAAATTTATAGAATGGTACAGTGTAAAGAAGCAATATGGCTTTGGATACATCCTACAAAATGGGTGGTGACAATGCAAGAGAAAAGTAAAAACCAACAAGTATAGCGCCAGCGGTAAAGTGACAAAGGTCTATTAATACATGTAGATATTATACCTGTTAAATTTGAGTCAACTAATGAGCATTCTACTGTTACTTCCTCGCCGGTCTTTGTTCGAGGCCAATGCACGCCAAAAGTTATCTCGGACTGACAGAAATCTGTAACGGGTAAAATATACGCATGTGTAAAAGAGCGATTTTTAGTCGCAAGATTTTCCCTACACGCAGGTCTCTCCAGACCCTTCATCTGGAACGATAAGGCCGAACCTGATCAGGGCCGGCTAGGGTCTTTGGGTATACAGTATTTTGGGGTATTCAATTTCAGGTATACAGTATTTTTATGCTTAAAATTGCATATAAAGTATTACGCTTTTTGGGATTTTGGTAGAGTATACTAGCTCTGAAAGATCATATCGTCCAATAGGAAATTAAGTCTCGGTTAAAATCTGGAGGAGCTTTCCAGACTTTCCCTTGAGTGCCTTTGTGTGCGATGCCTTAAGTAAATCAAGTTCTAGTTTCCGGAAACCATCTGTAGTTTCCTGTGAACAGGGTTCGACCAACACACTTATTATGACAGACACCAATAATGGTAGATTGAAGATGATAACAACGTACGCTTGCATTATACTCAAGACGTTCCTGGAGAATCTGCGGAGGCTGTTAAGTGCACTCAATGGACAACAGATGATGCCGGTGGTCTTGATGACACTAGCCCTGATTCAAGCGTATTTACACAGGAGCTTCTTCATGAGCAAGCAGTGCGTGTTCACCAGGTGAAGGGATCCAACGCTCAGACCTAAAATCAGGAACTCTCTCTTTCATAAGGCCTACCCGGACTTAACGTTTGCAGCCCCTGACTCTCGAGCAGGGAATACAGCAACGCCAACTACGCTGGATTTCAGCTTGGGTTTTGTAGTGTGTAAAAGGGAACTTGGAAGACTGTAGATGTTTCAACTGTTTTACGAACCCTAAAGCCAGCTACTAACTGCAGTTATCTAAACTTAAAAGGCGTTACCATCAAGTTTCCTGCATTGGCAATACTTCCAAACTCCTCGTACGGGTTGCTTTGCACCATCACGGCACTAGAACAGACCCTTCTTGACAGTTAGCGTCAATCATTGGCAGGAGTGCACGACAGAAAACAACTCAGAATTTTCCGTAAAAGACAATCCTGAAAAGCTGTTAAACGTTAAACCCTACTGCAAGATAAAAGTAAAGTCGAACCTCCATGTGCGACCTACGTCAGTGACCACCTCAGATAAGCGCGATTCCTAAAATTAATACTCTTGAAACCTTTCGTAAATGACCAGCTCTTACAATCGACTATAATCACCTTTATGGATGACGGTTTTAGAATTAAGTTTGATCTCAGTCTCTGTACTACACTACTCAGAGTATGAGAATTTTTCGTGAAATATGAAACTGCCCATCAGCTGAGGGCCAAAAATTTGGGTTTATCCCTCACTCGAGGGGAACAGCCGAAACATGTCACATCTTAATCTTTGATTATTGGGCAACGCAAAAATGAATGATAGCAAGGATAAAACGGTAACTTTCACTTTGAAAATCGAAATTTAAATTTGCCCCTCATAATCTCCTTTGGGTCGCCATCTTGGATTTCGCGGAAGGCTACCAAAAGTTGTTTATATTCTTTTAACGTTAACAAATCGTGTTTTAAACTTAAATATAAAACATATTGGAATTAAAAACATGACTTTCGTTTATTCTAGTGCTTAAATTATATCTACCTGACTTCACGTTTGGATACACATCGCCTGTCAATACTAGTCACAATAAGACCGACAGTTTGCACTTTATACTATCACTGAAAAAAAAATGGGAGGTTTACATAATTGTTTCAGAAAAGAGAGTAAGTAGACAAAATTAATGTATATATTGCTAGTGTGTTGAATAGAGTCCCCTCGAAAATAACAAAACACATGGTCTCAAGGCAATAGTCAGAGTTTTCGCTCCGGGTGCGAAAGTCTCTCTCTACACCATGATGGCGGACGAATGCATTATATGTGGTTGTTCCAATTCAACGCTATCCTAATGCAGAAATATTTATTGCTGGATAACCTCATGTCGTGCTTTCGTGGCCCAGAATCAGTTTCAGCTAAATGTGAATTCCCTGCACATCACATCAAAAATCGATGCAACTGCCGAACCGAGTTCACCACTGCATGGAAAACTGGAAGAGACTGAGATTTGCAACTCCGGAGTTGCTTAACGCACCTACACAGAAGTAGATGATGACTGACTGCAGGCCACGAGCAAGTGAAACGGAAGCCATCGATTGACTTTGTAACGGGCCATTGCTCATCCAGTCGCACTCAAGATTGCTTTTACCCAGTGAAGAAAGCTACGCTGAAGGCTGTGCGTTAGGTTAGCAACAAGGATCTAGTCCCGGCTTCCTTTTAGTATGGATCACGATTTTTTAGCTCGGATGGCACTGCACTTCTCGGACAGTCTTATCATATTGACATTAAAGCTGCTTTCACATTGAAAACAACTTTTAGGGTCCTCGAGCTATTCAAGCTGTTCCTTGGTCTTTTACAGATCTTAAGGGACTCACGTGAAAGCCAAACAAAGCCAGACTCTCCCAACAGCGTAAGCGATGCATCATGGCCACCTCGAAGTACCCAGAGATCGTAACCAGCAATTCCGATCAAAGAGGTGGCACCGGTCTTCCAGACGTTTAAGTTCTCCTCTTGAGCTACGTTCCTTGAGGTCGCTGAGAGAGTTTGAGATGGTCAGGAGCACCAGCAGCGTGCACGTAGGTAGTGTTCGCCGTGTATCGCGATGTGCTGATAAAAAATTTTCAAAAGACTGTACATAATGTCTAACTCTATTATTGTTTTGAACGCCTGGAACAGGCTATGAAAGTGTACAATGTAAGAATTAACACCTTGTCTGTACGGTGAAGTCATGGCGGAACAAGCTGTATTCTCAGTGTCATCAAAAATAAGCGGCTGAAATCGTCAAATTCCTCTTGTTACAGTGCAAGACAAAATCATCTTTAGAAGCAGACTCGTCAATCGGATCATGTATGTGTGACAACCGATGATCAGCGCTAGCGACTAGAGGCAGCCACACAGCGAGATCCTGTTCCAAAGGTTTAGTTCAGTCACGGAAAGGCTGAAACGCTTATGGTTCTTCACTGGCTTGGCACGCGCCCGGGAATCGCGTCCTTGATGCACCCTGATTACACAGATGTCTTTGTCCTAGTGCCTACTCATAGCTAAACCTTGACTTTGAAAAGTGCTACTACCAAAAAAAGGGAAGAGGCATGAAAACCCGAATATTAAGAAAATCTCTATGCAACTCGGCCCAGGTATTTTCATCCCTTGAAACATAAGGGCCCTTACCAGCGTAAACTCTCGTCAATCACAGGCTGTGATGACATCTCTGCCTTCTTTGGTAAAGGGAAGTGGAAAGCAGTCCCAGTAACCTAACACAATGAAGGATACGTCCGAGCTATGATGAGTATCCGAGACCTTTAAACGAAAGATACGGAAGCACTCGTGCAGTGTGGCAACTATACTAATAGAAGTGTCATAGTGTGGATGTGCTGAATATGAGATCCACCACGGGAGACTGGCAGGAAAGTCAAGCTAGAGAATCTTTTCCCATGCGAGTCATCTTTACGAGATTGCAAAAGCAATTATCAAGCCGCAGTATGAAGTGCCACTTTTCTGCTCCCCTCATTGACACGATGAGAAGTATGCATATACCTCTGACGTCGCGCCGTTTTTGCGGCTTCTACCTAAGCCGGCTCCTGAAGAAAAGTACTCCCCTGTGAGTGCAAGAAAGCATAAATTATAATTGTCTTCTACTCTAAGAATGTAAAATATTGATACAAGGAAGTACTTCAGCGGGTGTTGAATACTTCAGATGTAGAGCAGAAAGATAGTTGCTACCTTCGTCATCTTTTTTATTGTCTCTTTTTTCAGGTTCGATGTTTAGTATTTAGATCCCTCTTGACAAAACATGTTTTGTACGTTGTAAAACGATTTCTGAAATTCCTGCTTAAAAACCCTTCTTGGTTGTTCACTAAACAATCTCTTTAACATAAGCCTCATTCTTTCGTTGAACTTCTCAGTTATACCATTCCACATAGGGTGGTAGGACAATCAGAGACGAACTGTGTTTCAAGGTCACTTAAAATCTCTTCAGGAACTCCCAATCGACTGAAGATATCTACTAACGCCTCTGCAACGGTTTCTTCAATGAAAATTATTGTCACGCTTGTCACACAAGGTTTTCCGCCGTCTTTCCTCTCCCGTCCTGTTGCGTAAGCTCACTAGTCTTCAAAGGAACGGCTTCAGGGTAGCGAGTCGCAAAATCAACAAGTGTCATGATGTACCTGTGCCCTTCTTCACTTGGTGGACTGATAGGTCCGACAAGGTCAATGACTACTCTTTTAAATGGTTTATCAATCAAAGGCATCTTCTGTAGTGGCACCTTTTGGAACTGATCCCTTGTTTACGGTCTTCTGACAGACGTCACATGATTTGCAGAAAATGCACTCTCAATCTTGTCAGTCGTCTTCTTAAGAGCGACGGTTAGGAAAAATCGACCAAAATCTTAATTTCGCGGCAAGAGTTGAAAATAAATGTCATTCATTTTTTGTTCATAGACAGCTTTTAGGTAGAGAAGAAACCTAATGTAGACTGTTCCTGCCAGAAGCCTATTATTTGTGAGAAAAATTAGAAAATCGGTTTTCGGTGTCGGAGTCTCAGACTGCCCTTATTTTTAACCTGATATTCGCTAACATCAAGTTTCCTCGTGTTCGCAAACGAATCGGCATGGAGAAATTTGGACGCTTTCCATGCTCAGAAAAATTATCTTCCTTCCACTAGAAGATACTTTCAGGGCAATAGCGAAGCTCGTCGTACTGAAATAATTCAAAAACGAGAGATAGGTTTTCTTGATAACAAAAACTTAAGTTCGTTACCCATTTGCGACGACAATATTTAACATGTGGTATAACTCCAAATTCTCTTAATGCCATTTAAATCACACAATTAGACATTCATTTAAAACATACCTGGGAATTGGCTTGGGTTATGGAAGGAAATCTCTGTTAAGACACCATCGAAGTTCAGGAATTTTCAAGGTAGGCCGGCGGTAATTGTGTAAACACTTCCAAGTTCGAAACGCACAAAAGTAGATATTTACAGCCTAAAGGCTCGTTTTTCGTACTTTTTGTAGGTTTTCCCATTGCAAAGTTGCTTTTTTCAATCAAAGAGTGGGGTAAAGAGGTGAAACTGGGTCAATGTTAGCCAATTTCAAACAGTGAACTGTACCAGCCGGCAACACTGCGTGACAATCTGTTCCGTGACTGCACGTGACATAACGTACGTTTGAAGACACGAAGCCGTCAAAATGACAGTCACGGAGTCACGGTAGTAACGCAACGCAATTCTTGAGAGAGGAACATATCAATACCGACAGTATTTTGAAGAAAAAAAAATCAAAGGCGCTAGTATTCTGGTACTCACTTTTTATCGAAAAATAAGGAGTGAAAAATGGTAATTCGTTAAGGATGACGGAACAGGAAGATATTTCGTCTTAGGACTTTACGATCGAGGAAACTTGGAGCCGCGCGTTACACAAGTTACTTTGCTCACCCTTCACTATGTTTACCGGACTTCGATACTTTCGTTTGGAGGCTGCCTTCAGGAACCCAAGCCAATTCTCAGGTATGTTTTAGATAAATGTCTAAATGTGTGAATAAACGAGGACTGGGAAAATTTGGAGCTATACCACATGAAGAATAATACCGCAGAAAACAAGTACTCAATTATAGTTTTTGTCACCGTAAAAACCTGTTCTTCGTTTTTGAATTATGTCAGTTCAACGAGTCTTGGTACTGCTTTGGAAGTATCTTCTAGTGAAAGAAGAAGAGTTGTTCTATTGATGGAAAGTGTCCAAATTTCTCCTTGCGGCTTTATTGGCGAACGCAAGGAGAGTTGATGTGAGCAAACTTCGGGTTGAAAATACTGCCATTTTGAGACTCCGACCACGAAAACTGATATTCTTACTTTTCTCGAAAAATAAAAGCCTTTTTGCGAGAACAACTTACATCAGATTACTTATCTACCTAAAAGCTATTTATGGGCAAAAAATGAAGGAAATCGATTTTTCAACTCTTGCCCCTCAATGGTCGATATTTCCTGACCGTCGCTCTTAATACCTAAATGACCTCCCATTATAGATCCATGAGCCACTTCCATTATTCGAGGTCTTAACTGCGCAGGAACCATCACTTGCTTCACAGGCTTACCACCATTCACAAAAGGGTGTTTGTAGATTCGGTACAATATCCCACTCTTTACCTCAAAAGAAATCTCAGCTTGACCCTTCACTAGTACATCACCTCGGTCCCAGTACTTCTGTAAGCTCTCATCTTCACTCTGCATCTGTTTAAGTTTCTGTTTATCTGCGATGGGGCTCTCTTGGTAACTTGGTACTTTTAAAGGGCTAACTTCACCATCTTTCTTGGCTTGACTTCTCGAGGTTACAGCTGATGCTTCTTGCCAAGTTAGGTCTGGTTCATCTGCAGGTCTAGCTCCAGGAACGTTACCTATTATCAGGTCGTAAATGGCATCTGGGAGACACTGCGCTTCCACTTGCCCCTTGAGATAAGGAGTATCCACAGTAATTCTTGCAATAGTTACCTTCCTCGCTGTGTTGTCAATTAGCAGCATAACGTTAAAATCACCGGTAAACTGGTCCTCAGACACAAGATTCTTCTTAACCACTATTCCACTACAGCCGGTGTCTCTCAAGACATCCACAGTCTTCACTCCCACTCTTCCTTTTACAACAGGCATTTTCAACCGATCGCCAGACAAAGGTTCAAGGCAGGCATTGCTTACTATTGGAATCTTCTTACCAGTGGTTAACAACAGTTTATCATCCTTAATACAGGCTCTAACTTCTTCTTCTGTGGGTTTGACCTCGGGTGGCTGAACTAAACAAGCGGCACTCACTTGCCCACGCTGCACAGGGTAACCATACCTATTTTGTCCTCCTGACTTCTGTTTACCTGATCGACAGTTCCTCGCTTCATGACCTTGCTTGCCACATAGGAAACATTTCTTAACCAGAGATGGGCAGTTAACAGCCTTGTGGCCACGAGTGTTACACTTGAAACACACTACTGTCGTTGAATCATTCTGCTGATTCTTCGTTTTGTCCACCTTGGGCCGTACTTGTAGCAGTCTTGCTCGGAGAGCTGAACAGACGCTTTCCCTGTGCTTCCAAGTATTGATCGGCAATCCTCGCTATCTGAACAAGCGTTTCCGGAGCTCTTTCACGAAGGTGAATAGCTAACTCTTTTAACAAACAAAGCACTCTGACTCTACGGATTTGCATCCGAACGAGCATCTTGTGACGAAGTCAGAGAACTTTTGTCGAAAAAACTTTGAATTTGCTTTGCTAATGAACGTATGCCCATAAATCCTTGAAACCTCATCGTTCATGGTTTATACTTTTCAGCGACAACGTTCTTTCAATCAGGTATATCCAGTCTCACTAAAAACTGTTCCGGACTCTCGTCGACTTCCAGCTTTGTTGCTCTAAATTTACGACGATAGCCATCCTCTGTAAGGTCGTATCTCTTCATCAAAGCTAACTTCACTCGGTCATAATCTTGGGCTGCTTCCTCAGATAATCGCGAATAAACCTCTAGAGCACGTCCAGACAAAAGAGCTCTAAGTTTCGAAGCCCGTCCTGTTTTCTCCCATTTAGCTGTAGTTGCAAATCTCTCAAATCGCTGTGGGTAAGCATCCAAGTCGTCCTTGCCATCAACAAATGAGGGAAGCTTGGGTGCCTATCCTCTCCCAATTCAGCACGTTCGGCGACGTTACGGGCTTGTCCTAGACGAGCAAGCTCTAGTTCTTGCTCTCTCTGAGCGGCTTCGATAGCCTCTCTCTGTTTCAACAGGTCTGCTTCCAGCTCTAATTTTCTCAGTTCGCGTTCTTGCCGCCTAGTTTCTCTTTCTTCGTCTTCTCTTCTTCTATCTTCCTCAAGCATTCGAGGTTTCTCCTCTTTTTGTTCTTCTAACAGTCTACGCTTTTCTTCTTTTTCCTCTTCCAATTGTCTACGTTTTTCTTCTTTTTCCTCTTCTTCTCTCCTTCTTTCTTCTTCTAAATTTTGTTGCTCCCGCACAAACTAGACCAGTTTTTCTCCCTCCAATCCGAATTCTTTCCCTATCTGCAAAAGCTTTTCCATTTCCACAGCAGTAGTTCACAGCAATCACACTTGATATACTTCCTCGTAGCAGTTCTTCCTACTTCTCTGTATACTCCTTTTTCTTGAACTGTCCTTTCCTGGTTACTGTAGTCGGCAAACAATTGAATTCCTCTCCCGGACAGGCCCCCAATGTTACGCGGGTAATCTCTTAGAGGACTGGTAGCTTGCAAACCAAACTGAACGCAGGGTTGTCGGAACAGCAACAAGAAGATTTATTTCAAAAATGAACGTAGTTTCCACGAAGTAAAACTCCACAACAGCACGTAACTCGTTAGACTTACACGGCCTCCGCCAACTTCAATTAACTTGATAAACTTACGCGGTCTCCGCCAACTTGAATAAACACCGCTTCCGTCACACTTGACTAAACACGACTAACGTCGAATTCTCTTCGCTTGTGAAAAACTCGGACTCGCCTACTTATATACTATTACAATAAGTTTCTAGAACTTTCCAAATAGTCTAATTATAGAAAGATTACAAAATATACCGCTTTAGAAACGCTTACACAAGATCCTAAAATAAACAAACTATGAACTCTCGCGAACCTTCTAGAAAGTCACGCTAGTCACGCAATACAATTTTTCGCTCACCACTAATTTTGGGTGTAAAGTGTAATGTTGTTTTCTTAATTTTGGTATTTTACACGAGTTTTAATTTATTTTTTGGTATATTGGAAAGTTTATTTCGGTATTTTGGTATTCACCAACCCCATCCCTGGCCGACCCTGTCTGATGGAATTAATAGCATTCTATAAGGGGGCAAACCACTTGCCTACGGCAGAAATGAAATTTCACATATTTAAACTGCGGAAAAAAGATTTATCAATTGCAAAATAAGGAAAAAGCGGACCTGCTACCATATATTGATGAACCTACAGTGTATGATATTTTTCACCAAAATCCAAGATGGCTGTCTTTCGGAACAGTGACGTCTGAGCATCTGGTAAAACAAATCTTCGGTACACCTTTTTTGCTATGTATAACCATGAATTGTTATTTTCAAGTTGTTGAAGAGAGAAGATAGGGCCCCAACGATAAAATTAAAGGGTTAAAATTACCTCGGTCGTAATTCCCTTAGATCCAGAAGGATAATTTTTGTTGTAACAGATTTTTTGTCTAAGCGAACCTCTTTTGCTAACCATGCAGTGTTATCAAGTTCTTGCTTTAATGGATTTTACAGTCGTAACTTACGGTTAGAACAGTTTTTCTCATCAGATAAATCATAGCAGTCGTTCCTTAGATCACATCGTTCCTCGCCCCATAGTATCTCGTCACCGCTATCACACAAGAATAACTCGCCTTTGGTTATTAAATGGAGTTTATTTAAACCTGAAAAATCAACGATATGAAACATCATCAAAACGGACTTGAGACATTTAACGTCACTGAAGGTTATATTAGCTGTCTCGCGTTTGTCGCTCCATGTAATTTTTGCAACATAATTAAGCCAGTTGCTGGGTAATATAAGTCTCGTGGCTTCCTTGAACTTCGATGACTTGCCTTTTTTTCTTAGTCGGCTTCGGACAGCACAGCGTAAATGTAACAATTTTCACACATGGATAAATAAAATGCCTTACGCTAAGGCTTTTTCCTAACCTCTTATAGCTCCTGTGCAAACCGCAGCTTTTCTTTTCGCTAGATAGCAGCCAGGCCTAGTCATCTCATGACTGTCGTTTTGAAGACAATAAAAGTGTACACCGTCATCTTTCCAATGATCGTCACCATAAAAGACTTTACCATTCCATCTACAAGCTATAAAAAGATGTGTTTATTTACAAACAATTATTCCAGCCACCGCTATTAATCGATCACTGCTTAACTAACTCCGGCATGCAAAACTGAAAATGGCCCGTGATCTTGTGGCAAGACAAGTTCAATTATCACTCGGCTTTCTCCCATCAACCTTCACTTTTACTGCGAATAGAAAATGAAAGATGAACTTAAACAACAAATTTAGCTATGAGTACCCAAAAAACGGGGCAACTCATTTCAGTACTCCCTCGGGTGGGAGAGGGGCTGGATTTTCTTGAATTCGGCAGTTTATGATAGGGTATGAGACTCAGTGGACCTAGAAAAGGGCATCCTTTGTGACATTTGATTACTGCAGGTGTCGTTTGTGGTAAGAATTTTCGTTTCTGGTTGATGGTTAGACTGGTAGGGATTTTTGGTTCCTATTCTTGAAAAGATGTAAAATGCCGCTTACATGGTCTTGTATTGCTTAAGAGCCCACCATTTTAGAGTCCCGTTTAAAAAATTTATCATGATCATCATGATCATCTTGGTCATCGTCATCATAATCATCACCATCATCACTATCAGCATCAGCATCAGTATCACCATCACCATCATCATCATCATCATCATCGCCATTATATCATAATCATCATTATCATTAATATCATTATTATTTTCATTTTTATTGTTATCATCATCATCAACAACAACATCGACATCGCCCTTCATACTCATTTTCCTTATCATAGTTAATTTTTTTTAGAGGGTAGCTATACCTCTGCATTTGTCTTTGTTTTCATGCACATAACGCGCAACATTACACTCTGTCTGGCTACAGTGCTCGGTTATTCTTCCTTCAAAATTCTTTGACGATGATACTGATATTGTTCTTGTGCATTTGATAAGGCCACTTTGACAGGAACATTGAATACAAGTACCAACAGACCAGGTGGCTCCTTCAAAATACTTGTTCAGCTCTTCATCTTGACATGCTATGGCTTAAACAGGACCCGTAAAAAAAAAAACAAGTGAACAAATGATTTCTGAACACATAAATTAATTCACGAATGTTTATTGTGTTGTGATCAGTCAAAAGAATGACCAGGACATGCGAGCAAGCCACAAAACCACAAACCAGTAAACGATGTTGATAAGATTGTTTCAAAAATGGCATGTGCAAAATATAAAATTCTCAAATCTGATTGACTACCAGCTGTCCCTGTCAACACTGATGGGACAGTTTAAAAAAAAAAAACAGTGTAAAAGAAACAGCAAGCGTCATGCCTAACAGAAACTCATAAGGGGTTGAAACATGTAACTCTCGTATGTTTGCTTTGTCCGATGCTCGTGACTATTCATTTTCGAAAGTACCATATTTGGAACGAGAAGAAGAGACAACTGACCAATCAAACTTCGTAAACAACGTGGCGTAATTTTACTTCGGGTTCCCGCGCCCGCTTTAAAAGAAGGCCGACAAACGGGGGAAAAACTCCCGAAGGCGAGAAAGCTTTCAAAGGTTAAAACCAGGAATCTTACCGAAACACTGAGCAGGATATTATTGCCTTACCACCCGGTCCAAACGTAACATTATGAAACCCATTAACGTCCTCCCAACTTCTTGAAGTTTTCACTTCAAAAAGCGATGCCTCGTTGACCCTCTGCACAGTAATTTCACTTATACAGCAAATACAGGCTTTCAAAATTCTTATATTAAAAGTCTAGAATAAACAGGAAAAATATTTTCGAATAAAATTCATTAGCTGCGTGTGGAAAAGTGTCCAAAACCTAAACCTGACATCTTCACAAATGCGAGTAATGCATGTGAGAAGCATTTAGGTTTAAATTCAGCTTGGATGTTGTAGTCACGATAGTGTTTTAAGCTAGTTGTATGAATGAAAAAACTCAAAACAATAGACAGAGAAGCCGTTTCTTGAAAATTTTTATTCAAATTCCAAAAAGGTAATACTTTAAAGCAATTCGGAAAACACTATCTGGATCGTGGATCCGTTCACGCAAGTGAAATAGGCTAAGCGCATGGCAAAATTCAACACAAATCTATCTCAAATCGGGGCTCATTTTGTAATTTTTCTTTAGCGCCGAAGAGAAAAACTCATAAAACCTCTATGAAACATTTAAAAATACATAAATTCCCTTTCAAAAACGTAATTTTCTTGGCCATAGAGTACAAAATGTACCTGAAAAGTTTAGCAAAAACTTCACTGTCTTGGTTGCATTTCAAAATAGACCATGGGCTCCGTCTTGAAGAAAACAAGGTTGAATTCCTCGAAGGACGATTTCTTGATGAAAAGCTTCCCTTCCTCCACAAAAAGAAAGCTGAGCATTATTTTGCACTTTCTCTTTCCATTTTTTGTCTTTTAACGGTGTATTTTTAACCTTTAAATGCAGAACTCTTGTCTTAAAACATCTGCATGGTGATCGTGCGGCAGCCATTTTGTTTCCAAATATGGTTAAAGTGAATATTTACCAGCACCCGAGTTACACGTTTAAACCGCTTATGAGTTTCTGGCCTAAATAATTAGACAGTACGCGCAATCGCGCGGGCGCTTGAATGGTTTTGTTTTTTCGCTGCTTGTAAAAATTCTCTAATATTTTTTGTTATAGTTACTATTAATTAGTGACAGAACTTCATGTCTTCCAATTCGGTCTGTAACCATTTTCGTCATTAAACAAATCCTACGACCGCATGTTTTGTTAATCACTCGCGGTCTACAGACCAGATTGAACTCCACTCAGTCATATTTCCATTATTTACAACTAAAGTGTTGCGGTCCGGCTGGTCGATTCTGATTACAAACACCATTTTTTACACTGTTATTATTATTTAGTCTTTATAAATAAAAGAGTGAGAGATCTTGAACCACGTCTCTATGCCGACTATGCTTTTCCTTGGATAAAAGAGGTTGTTCTCTATCTGGTGTTTAGTGACTTTAGTTTAAGCCCGCTTCATGACAGCCTACAAAATGTATTCCTAATATTAAGGCGAGTTTACACTATTATTTGGCGTTTTACATACATTTGGTACCTGTTTTGCAGCTTATCATGGAATAATTACGAAAGCAATAGGTGAGTTTACATTCATTGTCGATATCTGAGGATACCAGCTGATGGCTATTTGGGCAAATTGACAGATTTCCTCTCATTTGCTTTGAAACTTCCTCCAATGCTAAACAAATAAAACTTGTCAGTACTTAATTAATTTTGTCGGAGAGTTGATGGGGACATATGTGTTGCGCCATCGATCAAACTAACATAATAAAACAGAACTCTCGTATCTTGTTGAATCGATAAGCACAGACGTCCAACATTGTAATTCGATTCCCTCCGTGTGTAATTGAGTAAATTTGCTCACTATACGTGACAAGATCAATAAGAGTTCTGAATGCCTGGTTGTTCAAACGCTGGATAACGCTATCTACTGGATAAATCGCTATCCAGCGGATAAGTATAGGAAAACCAATTGCGCCATCCACTGGATAGAGATTTATCCAATAGATAGCGCTGTGTATCTTTCGAACAACTGGGCCCAGAACCAATCGCTCATGGGTTTCAAGTTATAGTAAAACAGAGACTGGAAAATATTGAGAGTTGAGCCCAATTATTGCAGGTAAAGTTGAGGAACACAAGGGAGCTATTTAGCCAGCTCCTCTCAGCCAATTGGAGTTGCATTCGTGGAAAAAAAATAGCGGGCATATTCATATATAGAAAGGATGGCATATATTTATATTTTAACTCATCTTCATCTCACCACATTCTCTCAACACACGTTGTGCCGATGTTATGACCATTATAATCACCTCGCAGCATTCTCTGAACTAACGTTGCCCGGTTGCATAAAACTTTCTCAAGATAAGAAAACTCTTAGGTATTGTACTGGAAAAAAAAAAAGCTTATTTTAAAACAATGCTTACGCATTCCTGTAATCTGAAGATGTCTTATGCAAACCAGTCCTGTTGGCTTTCGAAAGAAAATTGCAAAACCTTTATACCTGATTGAAAAAACGTTGTCACTTGTAAAGAATAAACCGTGAACTATGAGGCTTCAAGGATTTATTGGTATACGTTCATTTAAAAGCAAGACAAATTCAAAGTTCTTTCAACAAAAGTTAACATTATCACGAGCTGCTGGTACGGAAGCAAATCCCTAGAGTACTTTGTCATGCCGTTGTCTTTTAAGTCTTCCAAGAAAGCTTTTAGGTCATATATGAAGATTTTCAAGTGGTTTCGCTGCACTGGTCGACCGTGTACAAGAAGTCGCCAGTGCAACACTATGGTAACAGGTTTACCGTCTGGAGGATTTTAACTGTATTGTACTGTACTGTTAGTAATATAGCTACGCTTTTTAACTGTACCGAGAGATCCGCTCCCAGATGTGCCCTGCATAGGTGAAGTTGTGAGCTTATCGGCAATAAAAATGGAAACCGTTTGACCTTTTTTGAAATGCATCAGATCGCGAAAAGCTTCGATAATGTAAATTTTTCTGGAAATAACTTTAAATTTGCAATGCTAATAAAGTTCTACCCATAAATCCATATGTCCCATCGTTCGTGGTTTATATACTTTTCAAGCGACAACGTTTTTTCAAACAGTTTTACATATCTACCTGGACAATATGACGCACAGCAAACTGCTCCATTGTATACATAACATACTGGTCTGACCATTGGCGGGCAGATCCTTCCTACTTCATCGTTCGGTCCAGGAAAATAGAAGGTGCAGCCGCTGAAGTTCCAAGTTTGTCCCGCAAATAGTAGTCCGTTGTTTTGCAAAATTTCCACAGCTGAAAACCAGAGGTCATCAATGTTGTTTAGTCCTGCTTCAACATAGAATTTGTTAAGAACATCTTAAGGTGATTCCCTAGTAAAAGAACCTAACATAGATTGTAGATGAAACTTGGCACACTGACGTAACCAGTCAAGAAGATGATAAAAAGGTAATAAAAAGTGGGGGTCACCGTGCTCGTTTTGACGTCACAACGCTGACAAATACGGCTATTTTGGACCCTTTGACAAAAACAACCCGCAGCCCAAAACTAGACAAAAAGGAAAGATTTTTTCAATGATGCATGTGGTATCGCACAGAATTTGACTTCAATGTATTGTTTATCCACTTACGTACCAGAAAAATGCCTTTTAATGCCCTTGTTTTTACTTTACGCTCCAAAGTAGAATTAAATTGGACACGCCCTATTCGACACGTGATAGCTCAATCCGTACAATTTAGTAAAATTGCCGAAAAACTGAACATAGATTTGTGCCAATTTTTTTCTCACTGAAAGGAAGCACTGTCCTTATTAAAATCATGAAATAAAAAATGGGGGTCACCGTATTCGTTTTTGCGCTAGAGCTGCAGAAAGTGCGCACCAAATGCATTTTACTTGATTTTTGAGAGAGGACTGGGGCGAGTTTCAAAATAGAATGTATGCGAAAGGGGGAAGAAAGTATTAAAACATCCGTTTTTACAGAATTTACATCGAGAAATCACATTTAGGGCACAATGTGATAAAGAAAGCGTTTAAATGAAAATCAAAGTGAATAAGCGCAAATTAAACATCCACTATCGAGGTTCTCCTTAGGAAGTCGAACTCAGCAACACGCGTACTGCTTACGTTATGCACATTCCAACCACATTGAGTCTCACCTCGGCAAGAAACAACCGCAAGCAAAAATTGCAATAGCGTTTCTCTTCGGTCAACTTCATTTTAATAATGTTACTTCACATGCTCTTTTTTACGGAGGCCATCTTGTTATGCGCAGTAAGAGATGCGCAGTGCAAAACCAGGGAATCACCTTAACCAAACTGACTTCGTTCGATGAGCCAAAGTATGGCCAAAGCTAGCCACGCACTTTTTAAAAGGGCACGTACATAATCGTAGCGTAATTAGCCATAGTAAGAAAGGACAGCGAAACAGTTATTTGATTGCATAAACATGTGGACAAACTAAAATAAACTCAGCTCAGTTTTACATGACATAAAGGTTAAATTGACATAGGCAACTAAACATAACTAGATTAGCCTTTTCCATTTAGATGATCCAAAACAACTATTTTGTATCTATATTCCTTCTACTCATATTCTTGTTTGGGTCACCTACTCGGTTAGTTCCACGAACTGTTTAGGTATCCCAAACTCTGCACAATGAACCAACAATTGAAAATTTCTTTTCCTTCACAATCTCTCGATTTTATATTTTAAAGCACTAATTTGTATTAATTATTATTCTGTGTGAGTTTAAATAAAAATTGACTTGACTTGATAACTAAGGAATAAAAGAAAAATGTAACAACAAAATAGAGAGCGAGTTGGGATCATCCAAATAGAAAAGGCTAATCTAGTGGATGACCCCTATGATTTGGAGGTAGTACAGCCACATCCACTTTGTTGTTCTTGGTTCCTCGTCTTAAAAGTTGGAAATGTTGGTCCTTGAGGAGAGGGGAAGCCGTTGCTGAAAGTTTTTTATTCTTCTGTAATGCCTCCCATATTACTGCATCAAGAAATTAGTGCAAAATCTTAGGCAAGCGCAGATGACCTTGCAACAGGGATTTCTTTCAATGCTTTAAATGAAATTAAAAATACCTTTACACTCGTCCTTTTTGTTTCGTAGAAACTGAGAAACTTTGCACGAAGGTTGTGTGCAATTTTCCTGGATCACATAAATGCCGTGGTAGTATCCTGGAAAGTACACTTCCAAAGTTTTCTTGCAGTTCAGCAAGCCTCTTGAACAGTGACAACTTAAGCAGGGAGAGACACGCCAGCCAAATGTGCTGTTTTTGATAAGATATGTTCCCCCTTCTTCATCTTTACACACTTCTGAGACAAAGGATGGCAAAAGAACGCTATTTATTACAAAGGAATTCGGACCAACAACTATTATTATTTATACTGAATGGCTAAGCTTATTAGTCAAGAATGAAGAACCTTGGGGAAAAAGACATCTCGAGGGGATAGTGTATGTGTTCAACCGTCTTCCTAACCGAATTCATCTTTTCCTGGCCCCTCTATTTAAACATTGAACAACCAATTGACAAATTTTTAAATGACATTTAAATGCGGCAATTTATTTTTGTTTTAGTTGATCACTTGCAAAACTAGTTCTGAGGGTGGTAAAGGTATGTCCAATAACACTACTATCTCTTTAAAAAGGTTGAGAATCTCTTACTATCTGCGCAGCCTGTTTCGTCAGATCCGTCTGGACATTCAAAGATTCCGTTGCACCTATGACTGTCCCAGATAAAATGATCTCCAGTGAAGCATTTAAACATCGCTGGTCTTCGCATTTGTTGACTGGCAGTCCCCAAAAAAGCTTTAGAAAAAAAAGGGAAGAAGCCCTTGTTAAAGGAGGGGAGTTGAGCCAGTTGACCAAACAGAAGGGAGATTATTATTCATTCAAAATTTGTCTCCGTTTCTCATTGACTAAAATCACATCATAACCAGCTAGCGTTGCCATATTGAACCGATGACGTCAAAAGTGCAACAAAGTTGCAGACTATTAAACCGTTAACGTAGAAGACCTGGGGACGAGTTTGAGTTGATTTCGAAGTGAGTAATGGTGGAAAATCTAACTCTTTTCACGGCGAACTGTTGTCAAAAAACATAACAAGAACAGCAAAAAGACATCTCGACGGACTACATCTGTTAATTGGAGTATATTTGAAGACCTAAACAGCCCTTTTATCTCCTAAATGTCCCGATAAACATGCACTATAAACATCGACGGAGGTAAGCATGTTTTAGTAGGGGCACCCAACGACAGCTTCCTTCTAAATACATTAAAAACATTTAAGGTCATCCAGAGTTCTTTGAGACCTCTAGATATGCATTCTAAGCGGTGCTATAAAATTTGTATCTGTTTGGTCATCCTAGGGCAACTTGAGTCTTTTCGAAATTACAAGGGCTTCAGTATTATTCTTCCGAAAATGTTAGGTGCAATTTACAGATAATTATATGAAACTCAGAATTTTTCTGATTCCTCACTCCGTCGCATTTTCAAATCCAAAAATTTTAGGTTTTCTTTTCTACGAAAAATAGGTTAACCTGGAGAGTGAAATGCGAAAATTAAACCTAAGAAAATCGTAGGGAATTTATTAGGTAAGGTTTGAAAATAGTGCGTGAATGGAACGGTTATCTAGAAATTTTTAGCCGAGCTCAAGAAATAGAAAATTCAAGGCAATATTCTCTTTTCTGGACAAATATTTTATAGAAACAGTTGTTGGGTGCCCCTGTTTTACCTTGTATTTAAACATGGAATTGTTTTGAATGAATAATAAAGCAATCATTAAGTTCGGCATTCGTAGGATATTGAGGATTATACAGATCTCGGAGGGTGTTATCCACCTCGATCTACAGAATTCTTCATATCCTACTCAGCCTCATACAATAATTGCTAAATATTAACGCTTAAAACATAATAAGATAAATTAAAACGAAAAAACATTCTGTTAAAGGACTGAAAGGATCCCAAATTATATCATTTCAAATTACTGGAGCAAGGTAGGTATTCTGTCTGAATTATTTGCAAAATTATAATCTATTTTCAAAATTTCTTTGTTTCAGCTAGACGTCGAGAAAAACTTAAAAGTTTTACCGAGGAAAGGAGTCCAGCTTCATTTTTTTAACATATGTAGTCAAAAGACAGTATAATGGATTTTAAAGGCGTCAGTAGTACTCGTCATTCAGTTAATTATATGACATCCCTAGTGGGATGAAAAATGCAAAGGAAAAATAGTATGAACAGCATATAAAATTTAATAAAAATGCTCATTAACTATTAAAAGTGATCGGCACGTCCTCCACGTCATTAGGGATTGCCTTTTAATTGCTTATCTAATCGCTTTCGCATGATCGTTACTTTCTTAGGCCTACTCTGGGACCTTAAGTCGCCGTAATTTTAGGCGACTTAAGGCGATTTAAGGCGACTTTAGGAAAATTTGGTCAAAATGTTGCGCGACTTTCGGCGATTTAAGGCGACTTTAGGCGACTTAAAGAGAAAAAGGTGACATTTAGGTGAGTTACATGTTAAAGAATATGTTGCAGTTAACTTTTAATTTCAGTTAATTTTTGGTTTTCCTTTGTTTTAAATTCATTAGCATACATAACCATACCCAGAAACGATGGAAAAATAAAAATTAACTGAATAAAAATGAACTACAACATATACAAAATCAAAATCTGATAACACTACCTCTCTAGGGACACAATGTTGTAGCATAAGTTAATTCAGTCTTGAAGACATCTACATTAGTCTTCCAAATTTTCAACAGTCTCAGCTACCTAATATTTTGAACATTAAATATCAAGGTAGCTTGTGTTGCAGGTGTATTCTAACCGTGGTTAGTAACATTTGCGAAGCAGCTCTAATATCCTTGTTCTGGGCCCTGATGCACTAAATGAATTACCAGCAATTTTGAGTCCCCTTCAACATGATTGGCAAATGGACAATGGCATTTTTAACAGTCCAGTCCTGGCATGTTCTCTAATCCTGATACACACACAGGGGGCCCAGAACTAGGATTTTGCCACTGTTTTGCAGATGGACTTAACCCAGAGTTTAGTTCCATCTGCGGCACAGGCTAATATCAAGGGTGTTGGTTTAGTATTACATTAGCAGAGACAAAATCTGAGTTAGAAGCAACCAAAAGGGTAAATTTTCTCTTGCTCTTTAAATGCATTATTTCATAATATAAAGGGACAAAAAATCAATGGTTCCTGCATTTCTTTTTCCAAAAAATAAAACCCTAAAAGTAGAGTATTTCAATACATCTCTATAAAATACTGTGGGCTGGTTTGTAGCAAAAACTTTATATTGAAGTGTCTTTTTTTCATAATTTGACAACAAACATTTAAGTAATTAATTTAAAACATCTAAAATCACTTATCGATATCGCACATTATGGAAATGACGATCCCCATTGTATGTCTTGGCAGTTGCTCTGCCAATGTTTGTCCCCACACGTTTGGCTAAGAGGATGTTTTTCCAATTGAATTCAAAACAAAAAGTTTGTAGTTCTCGCCGTATATATATTGCTCCTTTCCTGTCTCAGTCAAACAAAACACTTCCAAATACTTGCTTCGCTAGTGAACCGTACTCTCTTATCCATGGTCTCTCTGGAAACTTTCCAGTCGGGTTGATTTCATGAGTGTATTTATGCACCAGCAGAAACAACTAAGCTTAGCTTCAACCAACCTCGCTCGGTCTTTTCCACGCGGCAGCGTTTACGCTCTCAGCACAAAAGGAAGCATTATACGTCATGTTTAAACCGATGGCAGTACCAAGTGTAAACGTTTCCATTATTATGTCAGAAATTTCCATTTCAAAGGAGATCTTTAAACGAAAACGCGAGGTACAACATTCTATCCGCCATTTTGCTTCTCCCAGAATTCCACTGCTAACGCAAGCTAATTTCCATGGTTTCTCGGTCCCGCCCTCTCCCCGCCTCCCACCAGTTAGTCACGTGATCAAAACACACTACTTTCTGGGCGGCCATAACGTGGAGGAAAGAACAGTATTATTTCGCTTTTCTACGTTCTTCATCAATAATGATCGATTACATCAAATCGTTTGGCAGGGAGCAATCACGACAACATAAACAAAGAGCTGTATAACGCACCTTCGATGTACAAAGCTTGAATTTCTGTCTGGAAGGGAAGACCTAAAGAGACGACTGTACAAGCTAAGCTAAGTGTTCAAGTTTATAAGAGTGATTGTGTTTCTGTCAATGATAGGTGGATGTAATTCGACGGTAAATACAGATCAGAGGTTGTGTGCTGGCGAAAAAACTTATCATTAGTTGCTCTTAAAATCTGGGTCGGTAATTTACATGGACACTTTTTTCGATTGACCTTTAGACTTGTATTAACTACCAGAAAATTTAGATTAATGTTGTGGCGGCAATAATTGTTTTTTTTTCTCCCTTCAACCTACCTGTATTGATCTTAGTTACTTGAAATGTCTTTCAATGTTGGACTCTCACAAAGCAGTAGAAAAGAGTTTTAACTATATTTTGTTCAGGGTGCAAAGAAAGTCAGCTTTACAGCTTGCCTAGCATACACTAGCCTGAAAGCCATTCTTACTAACCCCAATTTTTTTTATGAATGGGACTGATTACAGTTCTTCTGTAATCTGAATTCCCTAAAAAACTTTACTTGCCAGCCAGGCAAGTTAAAAACGCAGTTCACTAGCCCAATCATAAAGTTCAGTACCCCAGGGCTATTGCCCGGAAACTACTCTGTCTACTCTCTTTGCACACTGTTTAATGTAATTTAGCTAGAACTTGAACCTTTGAATGCCTTTTTAAACAATATTTTTACTCAGAAATATGAGACAAACCTCCCGGATGAAATTAATAAAATACCTGTACAAGTGACTGGATAAAGTTGTGTACTATAAATGTCATTTTTGCATAAACAATACAGGAATGATTATTCTTGTATTGCTTACGACTAATTATTACGTGTAGTACATTGTGTAAAGTAATTAAATGTATAAATTAGAGGGCTGGAGAAGAAATTAAAGGGTCTTAAGTCACCGTGGGGGTTTTTTGTGAGGGGTGGGGTGGGTCTGTGGCTAATATTATTGAACACGCGTTATTACACACTTTATGAGAAATCATGCATTCTGGAAATAGAAAACTAAAAAAGTAATAACTACAAGACAATTTGAACCTTGTTAAGGTTTGAATGATTTAGTGACTTAAGGAAACTAAAGGCAACTTTAGGCGACTTAAGGCGATATTTTTAGGCGACTTAAGGCGATTTTAGGCGACTTAAGGCGATTTTAGGCGACTTAAGGCAATTTTAGGCGACTTAAGGCGACTTTAGGCGACTTTAGGTCCCAGAGTAGGCCTTTTCTTTACCTTTACAATCTGCAAATGAATCACTTTCAAAGGTATGCCAACAGCGCTCGCATATTGGATACGTCTTCACTTCAAACAAACCCCCTCTACTTAAACATTGAACAATCAATTGACAAATTTTGAAATGACATTTAAATGCGGCAATTTATTTTGTTTTAGTTGATCACTTGCAAAACTAGTTCTGAGGGTGGTAAAGGTATGTCCAATAACACTACTATCTCTTTAAAAAGGCTGAGAATCTCTTACTATCTGCGCAGCCTGTTTCGTCAGATCCGTCTGGACATTCAAAGATTCCGTTGCACCTATGACTGTCCCAGATAAAATGATCTCCAGTGAAGCATTTAAACATCGCTGGTCCTTGCATTTGTTGACTGGCAGTCCCCAAAAAAGCTTTAGAAAAAAAAGGGAAGAAGCCCTTGTTAAAG